AAAAAAAAAGGTTTTGCAAATTGGTAAAAAATAGAATATGAAATAGGCAAATATGGAAATAGGTGACTGTAGAAAATGAAATGTAATGTAAATGCCCAATAACATATGAAAAGATGTTTAATTTCACCAATAATCATGAAAATACAAAGTACAAATAAAACATGATTCAGAACTATTTTCACTCCTTGGATTAGCAAAAATTAACAAGCCTGACAATATCTAGTTCTTATGAGGGTATCTAGTTTGAGTAAGAATTGCCATTGTTATATATCTTTTTATAAAAGTTGTTTTGTAGGTGGGTACAAATATGTAACAATAAATCTCATCAATATGAATGACTATGATGCACCAATAAAAAGTGGCATGGGGGGGTCATCTTGCAGTAAATAGGGAGAAAAAAAATCTTCCCTTTTTTCAAGTGAATCCACTACATCCCTTAACTGTAGCATATAGTATTTCTTTGTGCTGAATCACCATCCCTGTTCTGCCATGAACTTGCTGACAAATAATTCGACCCTACTTAATCTTACTTCCTTCATACGTAAAAAAGGGGAGTTGAACTTAATGGTTCTCTTCTTAATGGTCACTTCTTGCTTCATAGAATATTCCCCCTTTTCTCGGGCATCATTGATTTCTCCCCCTCTGCTGTAGTTCTCTAGATATTTTCATTGACTGCAGATATGCTTTTTTATCACACTTGCCCCCTATCAGCCATTGCTCCTCTTAGTTCCTGTCCACAAGAGAGTTGTTTTTAAAAAGCTGCCATTACTCACTGTCTCCACTTCCTCACCTCCCACTCTTCAGCACGTTCTAATCAGGTTTTCGTCCCCACCACACCACTGAACCAGCTCTCAAAAAGGTCACCGAAGATGAGCTGGGGTTGTGACTCTGGAGTAGAGTGCTCATCTGGCATGCATGAGGCACTGGGTTTGATCTTCAGCATCGCATAAAAATAAAATAAAGATATTGTGTCCACCTAAAAATAAAAAATAAAAAAAAAAGATCACCGATGACCTACCTGCCTCTTGGCAAGATTAATAACTGACTGCCTGTTCTGATTTCATCTGACATCTTGGCAGCATTTGACTAAGTGGCTACCCTCTCTTTACTAAAACATTTTTTTCTTTGTACCTTCAAAGTCCTATATTCACCTGGCTTTCTTTTTTTTCTTACTGACAGCTTCTTCTCCATTTTCTGATTCTTCCTCCCCTACAAGACTCTCTAAATAATTAAATGCCCCAGGAATCAATCCATGGCTGCCTTTTTTTTCCTTTGTATGACTTTTAAAAAGCATCTTACTTTATTTTCCAGTTGTTAAAAAGATAAGCAAGTGTTGCTTTGTGTGCTTTAAATAAAATTTAACAAATGGCATGGTGATTTTTTTGTTCTTTTTAGTTATATATGACAGTAGAGTATATTTTGACATGTTTATACAGACATGGAATACATTTTATTCTAATTAGGGTCCCAGTCTTGTGATTATACATGATGTGGAGATTCACTGTGGTATATTCATATATGTGCATAGAAAAGTTATGTCAGATTCATTCTACTGTCTTTTTTATTCCTGCCCTCCGTCCCTTCCCTTCATTCCCCTTTATCTAATGAAATTCTCTTCTTCCCCTCCACCACCCTTATTATGTGTTAGCATCCACATATCAAAGAGAACATTTGGCCTTTCCTTTTATGGAATCGGCTTATTTCACTTAGCATAAATCTCCAATTCCATCCATTTACTGGCAAAAGTCATAAAGTCATTCTTTTTTATGGTGGAATAATATTCCATTGTGTATACAGACTGCATTTTCTTTATCCATTCATCTGTTGAAGGATACCTAGGTTGGTTCCATAGCTTAGCTATTGTGATTTGAGCAGCTATAAGTATTGATGTGGCTGTGTCACCATAGTATACTGATTTTAAGTCCTTTGGGTATATACCAAGAAGTGGGATAACTGGGTCAAATATTGGTTCCATTCCAAGTTTTCTGAAGAATCTCCATAGAGCTTTCCAGAGTAGTCCCACTGTATAAGTGTGCTCTTTTCCCCACATCTGCACCAACATTTATTGTTACATGTATTCTTGATTGTTGCCATTCTGACTAGAATGAAAAGGAATCTCAGTGTAGTTTTAATTTGTATTTTTCTAATTGATACAGATGTTGAACATTTTTTTATACATTTGTGGCCCATTTGTATTTCGATTGTTAAGTGTCTGTTTAGGTCCTTTGCCCATTTATTGATTGGGTTATTTGGGGTTTTTTGGGGGGGGGTGTTGTTTTGTTTTGTTTTGTTTTTGTGTGTTCAATTTTTTTGAGTTAATTATATATCCTGGATATTAATGCTCTATCTGGGGTACAGGTGGCAAAGATTTTCTCCCATTCTATAGGCTCTCTCTTCACATTCTTGTTTCCTTTGCTGAAAAGAAGCTTTTTAGTCTGATATCCTCCCATTTATTGATTCTTGATTTTACTTCTTATGCTTTAGAAGTCTTGTTGAGGAAGTCACTTCCTAAGCCAACATGATGAAGTGTTGGGCCTACATTTTCTTCTAGTAGTTGCCTAGGTCTTTGATCTACTTTGAGTTTCGTGCAGGGTGAGAGATAGGGGTTAAGTTTCATTCTGCTACATATGGATTTCCAATTTTCCCAAACCCATTTGTTGAAAAGGCTATCTTTTCTCCAGTGTGTGTTTATGACATCTTTGTCTACCCTCTTCCTAGGAGATTGCATCCAGTCTTCTTGAACCAGATAACTTTTCCAAACTGATCAAGTAAATATATTTCTCTAGCTCAATCTCCCTAAGCCAGGAATGGCATATCAAACTAGCTATTTGGAATTTCCCCCTTGTATTTCTAAAAGGTACCACCTATTCAATTGCATTTACAATTCCCCAGGAAAGTCTCAAACCCTCCCTAGTGCAGTAAAGGCATGCAGTCATCCTGTTTAGTGAGTTTCATTTTTGAATTCTTTTTCCTGTATATCCCACATTCAAATCTAGACCCTACCTGAAAAACATATCCTGAATCTATCTCCACTGCTGAAACCATAGCTTAAGCCATCTTTCTCTCCTTCCTGGGTTCAACCCCTCATACTGCAAGATTATTTTCCTGAAATAATCTTCTAAGTCTCTCTCCATTTCTCCAGTTTCCTAATCCTGTACACAAAAGCCAGAGTAATAACTTTTGACAGTTGAATCAGGTCAAGTTACTCCCCTTCTTCAAAGCCCCCAATGACATTTCATTGCAACTGGAAAAATAATCAAACTTTGAATCTTAAAAATCAAACTTTAGGCTGAGTGTAGTGGCATACATTGTAATCCCAGTTTATGGGGAGGCTGAGGAAGGAGAATTAAGGCCAGCCCAGGCAACTTAGCAAGAACTTCTTGATTTGGCCCCTTTCACACAGGCCTTCTTTCTGATTCTTCATCATATCAAACTCATTTCCATCTTAGGATATTGCACATACTCTTCTTGGAATATTCTTCCCATCATTCAGGCCTCAATCCAAATGGACTCTTCTCAGAGAGGCCTTCCCTGATCTGTCCATTTGATGCAATCCTATCTTTTATTATTCTTTATTACATTTTATTTTATTTTGCAGTATTGGGATTGAACTTAGAACAACTCTACCACTGAATACCTCCCCGGCTCCTTTTCTTTCTTTCTTTCCTTTTTTTTTTTTTTTTTTTTTTTTTTTTTTTTTTTACTAACAGGCTGGCCTCAAACTTGTGATCATCCTGCTTCAGTCTCCTGAGTAGCTGGGATTATAGGTATATGCCTAGCACCTATTTTATACCATCTTAACAGAGCCTCAAATTGTATTTTTTTTCTTTTTACATTTTGTTTTCTGCCTTCCCCACTAGATTGTACATTCCCTGAGAATAAGAATTTGGTCAACTTACTTATTTTTGTACCTTCAAGGCTTAACAAAGTGCAAAGAGCACATGGAAGCAACATAGAAGGTGCTCCGTAAATATGAAATAAAAATATGTAGAGTCAGGCTTATTTACCCTGTCTCCCTACATTTAACCATAATCAATCACTTGTTTTAGACAATTCTGGTGATCTCTAAATAAAGAAAAAAGGAAGATACAATAATGATTCATATTTATGAGGATATAGCTTAATGGTAGAGCACTTGCCTAGCGAGTGTGAGGCCCTGGGTTCAATCCCTCATACTGCAAGATGATGATGATGATGATGATGATGATGATGATGATGATGATGATGATGATAATGATGATGATAATGATGATGATTCATTATAGACTAAAAGAATTTTTTCTAAGATAACACTAATATCCCTGAGGATAGGCCCATAAAATTCTGAGGAAAATTACAAAAAAGATCAATGAATTCTTCTGATCTTTGTAATTTCAAAACTTAAAACAGTTCAAATTTTGTGAGTTTCAGTAACATCAGCTTATCTGAGTCTTAAGAATATATTTCCCTTGCTTTACAGATAATGGAACAGTTGATCTGAATGATCTGATGGATACAGTCAGTTATGTCAAGGGTGAGTTTCCAGCTATGATAGAAAAAAATCTTATAAATAGCATCTTAATACTTTGCAATTAATAGTGGAAAAAAATATTTCCCATAACCTTTTGTATAACTTATGTTCCATTTTTGTGGATGCTGCTGAACTGAGAAAACAATTACAAATCTATATTTATATATTGATATCCATGATATTCTCTGAAATTTTCTCCAAAGAGTTCAATGTCAAGAACCACAAAACTTCTTGTACCCTTTTCCCCACTAGAAATTCATCCTATGGAATTAATTTTATTGAGTAAAAGAAAAAAAAACTTTGCCCAAAGACTTTCATTCTCATATTAGTAAGAATATTTAAAAAGGTTAGAAATATCTAACAATATGGGAATTACTATATAAGCCATGGTATTCGGTTTAATGGGGTAGAATTGTGTTGAAATGCCAACTGTGAAAATTATGTGGCAGCCTGGAAATATGTTTATAAAGGAATAGTTTTAGGTTGGAAAAGCAAAATACAAAATTGTACACATATTAAATTTTCACATTACAAAAATACAATCTTATTTTCAAGACCAGAATGGGGTATGAACAACTAAAAAAAATTATGATAGGGTAGTAGAATTATATTTTCCCCTTTTACATTATTATATTTTCTTTACTGTTATTACATTATTTATATAATACATGAGAAAATAATGCATTCTGATTGTATTGAGATTAATAAAATTCCTGGAATACATAGTGCCCAGAGAAGCAAACTATAGGCAAATATATTTTTAAATAAATAAAATTTAAATTTTCAAAACTGATATGAATTGCTGGGTACAGTGGCACATACCTGTAGTATGGGAGGGTGAGGCAAGAGAATCACAAGTTTAAGGCCAGTTTGGCAACAAAGGCAACATAGGTAACATGGGCCACACTGGGAGACTTTGTCTCAAAAAAATTATAAATAGGTGTATAGGAAAAAGTTCAGTATTTACATGGGATAAAGGGAAGGAAGAGAGTAAAACTAAATTTCTATAAGTAGCTTAACTTGGCAGGGATTTTGCAACAACCTACCAGTCAATTCTTACCACCAAGTGTACTTTTCTTCTTTGTAGCAAATTTATGACCCTCTAAAACAGAATTAAAGACATAGGACCTTTTTCTGACTCTCCTATTAATTCTGGGTGCACGTGGGTCATGGTATATATAAACACAGTTAGTATTTTTGATCGTAATATTCGTTCCATAATATTTCTGCAACTCATTTCTCAACTTTTTTAAGGAGAGGTGATTGATGTCGAGAACTTAAACAACCTTTTAGCAAGTGAGGGGATTGAGCTCACCAAAGGAGAAATGAAGGATCTGATGCCTCTCTTGACATTTAATGGTGAGACTGTGTGTGTGTGTGTGTGTGTGTGTGTGTGTGTGTGTGTGTGTGTATGTATAAAATCATATTTTCTTCCTAAAAGTACATTTTTGGTATCTTCTATAGAAGATCCTCAAAATGATCCTTACTTTTACATCACCTAGTGCAGTGGTTCTCAAATTTGAATGTGCACATAAATCATCTCATCATCTTGTTAACATGCAGATTTTGATCCAGGTCCACTGTAGAACCTGAGGTTCTGCCTTTATAATAAACTCCCAAGTGATGCCAGGGATGGTAGTTCACAAACCACATTTTGCCTATTAAGGATCTAAAAGGTGAAGAAAAGAGATAATATATTAAGGTTTTGCCTGGACTTTTATTTTCTAAAATCATAAGTACAACCAATATGCTAATTTTTCCCTAAGGAAATGATTCCAGTCCAAAAAAAGAAGGGAAAGTAATAAAGTGGTTGACATAAGAAAATAAAAATGAGCTGGGCATGGTGGCACATGCCTGTAATCCCAGTGACTTGGGAGGCTGAAGCAGGAGAATCACAAATTCCAAGCCAGGGACTGGGGATGTACCTTAGTGATTAAGCACCTGTGGGTTCAATCCCTGGTACAAAAGAAAAGAAAAATGAGTATTAGAGAGGGACATACAGGAGGAAGAGGAGTTTGGGGTTGGTTGATTTTTTTTATTTGTTTATTGAGATTTTTAATATTGTTTATTGAGTCTAGTTACATGGCTAACCCACTGGCCTTATATTATATAACTACATTTTTACTTCTACCACTTTCTTGTTGTTCCAATACAAAATAAAAAATTATCTAAGATACCAGGCACAATGGTGTATGCCTGTAATCCCTGCAACTCAGGAAGCTGAAATAGGAGAATCACAAGTTTAAGGCTAGCCTTAACAACTTAGCAAGACCCTGTCTCAAAATAAAATATAAAAAGAACTTGGGATACAGCTCAGTGGTAAGGCACCCCTAGATTCAATCCCCAATACCAATAAATAAATAGAAAGATAAATCAATCAATCCACCGATCCATCCATCCCCTGGTCAGAAGTCAACTCTCCCTTCTCTAAACTACTTCCCCTCCCCTGAGTTACTGGAGTTGAACCCAGGGTCTCATGCATAGTAGGTAGACACTACCACTGAGCTATACTTCCACCTCCCTTCTCTGAACTCTTATAGGGTTTTATCAGTTCTTCTCATTAGAAACTCAGAATATTCTGCCTTATACTTTGAATTATTTTGTATATGCTTCTAGCTCCTTGAGAACAGGAAAAACAATCTCTGATATTTCTGGATTATCTACTCTTTCTAAAAAATTCCTCCTGTGTTTCCTTTTTCAATTAATGGACATATATTCAACTGCTCAAGCCAAAATCTTAAGGCCTTATCTTTGCTTTCTCCTCTCTCAGTTTCTCACATTCATTCATCAAGTTCTGTTAATTCATGCTCATAAACATTTTTTGCCTACTTTTCTTGCCTACTTCCTGAATCCTAATACTGACCAATATTATCTCTTGCCTAATTGACTGTAGTGGCCTTTCTGTTAATCTCCCTGCTCCCAATCATGCCTTCATGCTTCTTTCCAATCCATTCTGCACCCAAGGTGATTTTGTTATTTTTTGTTTTGTTTTGTTTTTGGTACTAGAAATTGAACCCAGGGGTGCTTTATCAATAAGTTGCATCCCCAGCCCTTTTTATTTTGAGACAGAATCTCCCTAAATTGCCAAGGCTGGCTTTGAACTTGTGATCCTCCTTCCTCAGCCTCTCAAGTTGCTCCAAGTGTACACTGCCATGCTCAGCCCCAGGGTATTTTCTAAAACCTAAATATGATCATGCCACTATCATAGTTTTAAACCTTTCAAAGATGTTCCACTTGCCTCAAGGTCTTCATGATAATACCACCAGCCTCCTTCCATTCCTCTGTGTATGTTCAGCTTCAACCACACAGACCAAGTTGAAAGTTCCACAGATATCTTGTACTCTCCCTAGAAAACTATCCCCCACCCCCAAAGAAGGTGCATAAACCCTCCAGTTTGCTGAGATGATGTCATCCCTTGAATGGGGTAAGCCGGGCATCAATCTTATTTTAGTAGATACTGAATCCTACCTTGGGTAAGTTAGGGGAATGTATGCTTATTCATTAATAGTTTGGGTTTCCTACTTTGAAAGAATCTTCAGTCTCTGCTTTGCATTCCTTCTACATGTTGCTGTAACTCAACAGGACACTGTCTAATCCCAGCACTTCCTAACTCAATCCTGGATGGGTAGCTGATTTTACTGAAACTGCTTCGACTTGAATAATCAATGCCTTATCCTTACAGATTCTACAACCATTCATAACTTCAGGGAATTTTTATTCATTTTCTGTTCCTCAAGCTCCAGCCTCACATTTTGTTGCTGGGAAGGAACAAAGTGAAATATGGTTAGAGTTCTGAAAAAAAGTGAGGGAGAAAGAGGTGAATGCTGTTAAGTCTCAAGACTTATTTTGAAGAACTTAAAAATAAGTCTACTTGTCCTACAATGTGCCTGAAACTATCCCTCCTCCTCCTAGTCCTTTCCCCAGCTAGCCTGCCTTCCTCCCACAGTTTCCATCATTGAATTTACTCATTTCCACACATTTTTTAAAAATTACTTTCTTATCAGAATCCTCTCTCTCTCTCTCTCTCTCTCTCTCTCTCTCTCTCTCTCTCTCTTTGATAAATTCAAAACATGTATTTATAAAATGCTTAATCTGCCAACTCAGGAGCCCAAGGTGTGGAGTGGAGTGGGGGTGGGCAGCTGCCCTCCATATCAGCAGAGCAGGACTACAGGAGTACAGCCCTCCCTCCCTTTCCTTTCTATTCAGACACCCAATGGGCCTCTGTACCCTCCTGGGATTATACAATCACAAAACAGGACCCTAGAGGTTTCTTGAGTCTCTGCTTACCAAGGAGGCTAAGTGCAACCCTACCAGCCCATCCCTGAACAGAGTCCCCCAGATAGGACAGAGCAGGGAAAGGCTAGGCAGGGAAGGGCTGAGAAGGGTAGATGGGTACTGGAAGGGGCTGATGGTAGCAGATAGGTGTTGCCTTCTGCCTGCAGGTGGGGAACACCCTGACTGGGTGGGCTGAGAAGGGCTCATCACCAGGCTGGGGCCCCCAGCTTTTTTGGTAATAAGTTGACATCAGAGTATAGCCAAAGAATACTGCTTCATGGGAAGCAGCTAGTGGTGAGAGCTATGGCCTGGCTCCTGGGGTCTGGGAGGAGCTGGGAGAAGGGACAGTGTGAAAGCAAAACAAGGGGCAGCAGCTTCAGGTTCCTGTACCTCAAAACCCCCTTAAAATTCTTGATAGTGCCATCCAGGGACCCTTTCTGTCCTCAGAATAAAAATTTTAAAAAGGGCTAGGACTGAGTGGCCTAGCATGCCTGAGGCCCTAGGTTCAATCCCCAGTACCTAATTTTTTAAAAAAAAGACTAGAGATGTTTGTCTCCCTGAAAAAAGTTAGCCTCTTTTTCATCACACTCACCTAAAGGAAAAACGATTCCAAATTCCAAAGCAAATTCATGGAGTAAGTTTCAGCCCTCTGCTACTTTTTATAACTTAACAGTTTTTATCAACTTTTATGGGTTTTTATATGAATCAAAATGTTTTGCAGGAAATGGGAAGGTTACCATGAATTCAATAATGGAGGGCCTGAAGAAGTTTAGACGTGAGTGAAAATTCATGATACAACTTAAAATTGATAGTCTGATGCTATGTTTAATTTATATGTGATTACAAAAGTAAATATTAAAAATTTTTCTTTATTTAGAGAATGAATGAAAAAGGAAAATTTTAATAATTCTACCCTCCAATGATAATCCATAATTTTATCACCATAAACTTTCCCTTATACACTTCCCTTATGTGTTTATGTTCTGTGCCTGTATAGAAAAGAATGAATGCGAGTTTTGAACATTATGCTAAAAATTGGTAAGAGGAGGCAAAGTAAAGCTTGTCTTTGGCCCTCTTCTCATAGACACAGAACCTCAACCTGAGCTTTATTCTTAAGAAATTTTTATTTGCTCTCTATGCCTACATTTCACAAACAAGTATGACCAAAAAAAAAAAATTGTGATATGTCTCCAAAAGCCACATTGTGTTTCAAAAAAGAATTTAAGATTGATTTAAGGAACTTTATGTGAGTATACATAAAATTAATTTTAATAAGAAAATACAAACTTCAATTCTGGGTACCCATACTTATATTTTTCAAGTTCAAAAAAAAATATTGTTCAGAAAGACACACAAGTCGGGCATAGTAGCACAAACCTGTAATCCCAGATACTTGGACTAGACATAAGTATAATGATTTTTTCACACTTAAGTAACTTTTCCCCCAATTTCTAATGTATCATTTGTATTTCTAAGAAAAAAAAAGAGTATAGATTTCAGTTACCTGAGAATGATAACAGAAATACCTATATCAACATATGTACAACCTCAAGACCTGCTAATATTTCTGTCTTTTGATACTGAACATTCAGAACTCCTCCCAGACTTCAGAGGTACATGGATTACAAAGTTCTACTTGAGAATTTACAAAACTACACTTATAAGAGACATAGAGAAACTCTAATATATACATTTAGAAAAAAATAAGTGTAAAAAATAAAGTCTGATTCTTTTCTGAAAAAGAAATTATCAATGTCACATTCTCAACCAGAATGCTGCTACATGCAGTGTCTAAGAATGACATAGGGTGCCTCTAGCAAACTACTCTCTAGGAAGGGAGAAGAATCAAACAATAGGGAGAAGAAAATGTGTGGGAGGAGAGATCAGACGAAGGGATATAAAAGGCATTTGATAGGTTTTTCTTAATTCTATAAACTATATGTGCTCATATTTGAATTAACCTTCCCTCAATAAAGAGGATATTTCTACTTTATGTGTACTACTTTCTGTGTGATGTATTACCTTGTATAGCCTCCATAATCTAAAAGTATCACTAAACATTTTTCATGCTTTCATAACCTGCCACAAATTTTTCTTTTTTTAAAAAATAGTACAGAGTTGGCTTCTCTGGCTAGACCAAACCAAACCAGATATAAGAAACCAGGCTGCTATGTCCATCATCTTTCTCCTAAGAGTTAATCTCATCATGTTTTAAAAAACTACCTAATATTTTGAAGGGCAAAAAATGAATAAATGATAAATGAATAGTCTTGATTTCAATTCTGATTCTAGTGCTTTTAATTTTTTTGCTTTTGGAGTTTAATACATTAAGGAGGCAAAAGAAGAAATATGAATTAAGATAACTTCAACATTTTCTTCAGTTTCCCACTCTCTGGAGAGAAAATAAGATAAACTATATCCCTCCTATTTCACTTTCTGTAACTTCAGAAATTTATATGATCTTGACTCTTTTTTTTAATTTTTTTTTTTAGTTGTAGTTGGACACAATACCTTTATTTCACTTATTTATTTTTATGTGGTGCTGAGGATCAAACCCAGGGCCTTGCACGTGCTAGGCGAGCGCTCTACTGCTGAGCCACAACCCCAGCCCTGCCCCCCCATCTTGACTCTTAATCTTGTCTTTAAGCAAAAAGAACAGTGTCTCTACAGAAGCTGATAAAAGCTCCCAGTTCTATTAAAGGTGAGTGTGAAACCTGATGTGAAGGCGTTGTGAAGACAGGGGTTTAGTACTTTGACTTATAGCTTTTAATCCCACAGTTGTTTTCCCTAATGGTTTTGTTGGTTTCTACCCTCTGTCTACTAATCCATAGGTGATTGGACATGGTTAGTTCTCAAAAGTTTTTCTAAGTTCCTTTTGCCTTTTGCCACAGCATCATATTGATTATTAGGTTTCTTATATTGTTTTCTAGTGGCTTCACTTGCTACTTTTTTTTAGCTTCTAATCACAGTGCAGTTTACAAAGTAGGTGTTCCTGGTTCTGCCATTAAAGAAACAAAACTTTAGTCTCTTTAGCAATAAAATGAAAAGGATGAATGTGGCTGATAATCTATTACTTCTCTTTTAGCTTTAAAAAATTCTAGGACTAGAGAGGTACTGGGGATTGAACCCTGTGGTGTCTACACTGAGCTGCATTCCCACCCCTTTTTATTTTTTATTTTGAGGCAGAGTGTCACTAAGTCACTGAGGCTGGCCTTGCAGTCCTCCTGTGTCAGCCTCCTGGGTTTCTGGGACTACAGGCATGAGCCTGGCTGAGTCTACACTTAAATTTTTGTTTGCTTTTTCAAATTTTTCCAAAGCATATTTGCAGAGATATTAAATTGTGAGGCTACTGTAATAACAATAGTTTCTGGATTATCTCATTAATCTGTACAAATAAATGAGAATGTTTACATTCAATACAACTAACATAGTGTTTGACTGAATACATTCAAGAAGTAAAACAGAAGTTTGTTAGCTCTATTGAGAAACTGGCTTATAAGTTATGTCTAACCCCAGATCCTCCTACTTTTTTCACACTTAAAATGATAAAATTTTGATTATGTGCCTATTATGTGGATATCTTGACATAACCAAAAATTCATACACACTAGGATTTTGTCATTTAATGTTTTTTAAAAATTATACGAAGAACACCTTTTTAGGTGGCTAAAGAGAGTAATAATTGGTATCAGTGAAAAGAGAAGTTTATATAAGAACAGGGCTATTTTACTACATTTAATATCTCTTAGTTTGAATGTGTAATAAATGACTTTAACCAGTGGTGCCGCCCCCGACCAGCACAGGCAACTGAACTTAAGATCACTCGTGTGAATTTGCAGGGACACCAAATAAAACACAGACACAATTTCCCTTTACACAAGCTTCAGGACGGCTTCCCTGCTGTCCGCCTCAGGCTCCCCAAAAGGGAGAGCAAGAGAAGGTTAAGAGAGGATGACGAGAGAGAAAGAGCACGTTTGGAAGTGAGCTTTTATTGGGGGGACTCTGTTCTTAGAAAGTTCTATCCAAAAAAGGGCAGAAAGGGCAGGACTACAAGGGATAGGCGAGTGTAACTCAACCCTAGGGGCACATCCCACAAAGAGGAACCCTTACTATCCCAGATAGACCAAGCCACAGAGAATGCAGTGGTTGGTCAGAATCTGAGGCATCAGGACTGGAAGGGTGTGGTCATTCATTGTGGCTCTCCACACAGTGGTTTTATGCAATAATTAAATAAAATTTTCTGAAGATTAAACTGTGAAGTGTATCATCCCTCATCTAATTTTGTAATACAAAGTAACATCCTTCCTACTTTTCTTTATCTTGTAATTTATTTTTCTGCATGGTACATGATCAAATAAGCTTAAACCAAAATGTGCAATAAAGTTGAGTCTTTAGATAGTATCTAGTACATTATTAAGAAAGATTATTTCTATATTTTAAATGTTTTTGTTCATGTAGAAATCATCAGTTTAAATCTGTTTAAAAGACAGATGACTATATTTTAAATTTTGAGTATTAAATTTATAATGTCATTCTTACTGTTTTATCCTTACCATTTTGCAGTGTTTTTAGAAAATAGTAACTTACTAGCATTATTTTGTTGTTACTGTGTAAACATTGTAATAAATATTAAATTCTTAAAAAATAAAATAAAATTCTAGGATTAACTTGCAGCTGAAAGGAAACTATCAAAATGAAAATACAGCATACAGAATGGGAAAAATAGTTGGAAATTATATACTGACTAGGACTTAGTATCTAAAATATATAAAGATCCTTATAACTCAACAATAAAGAGACAAATACAGATATTTCCCCTTTTCCACAGTTGTATTTTCTGTAGCTCCAGTTGCCTATAGTCAATTGTAGTCCAAAGTATTAAATGGAAAATTCCAGAAATAAGCAAAGTGTAGTTGCACACACCTATAATCCCAGTAACTCCAGGATACTGATAAAGGAGGATCACAAGTTCAGTGCCAGCCTGGGAAACTTTGTGAGCTCCTGTCTCAAAATAAGTTTAAAAAGGGCTAGGGATGGCCACATCAGGGTTTATAGAACCATAATTCACAAAAGCTAAATTATGGAATCAACCCAGATACCTGTCAGTAGATGAATAGATTAAGAAATTATCGTATACTATATACATAAGTATATAAACATACATATGTATATATGTATATTGAATTTTTGGAATATATATACACAAAAGTTTGAAATTATGGCATTTGCTGGTAATTGGATGAAAATGGGGAATCTCATGCATGCTAAGTAAAATAAACCAAATTCAGAAACTCAAAGCTCAAATGTTTTCTCTCATATGCAGAAGCTAGAATAAAATAAAGGAAAAGGGAAGGGAAGGATAAGGTAACATAAAGATAAAGGGAAGATCAGTAACGTGAAAGAAGGAAATTGAGAGACAGAATGGAGGCATGGGTAAGGAGAGATAATGGCAGAATGAATTTTTTAAAAATCATGTTATATGCACAAGTAAATATATGACAAGGAACTTCATTTTTATGCAAAGGTAGAAAGAACCAATCAAATATAAATAAATAGATGAGTAGGGAGTCCAGTAGAGCAGAGGAAGAAAAATGGGACAGAGAGGAAGACAGAAGGGAAAAGGCAGGATAATGAACGAAATTGAATTCCATGCATGTGTGAGTTTGTCGGGATGAACCCAATTACTATGAATAACTATAACATTCTAATAAAAACAATTTTTAAATAAAAAATTACTCAAAACTAAAAAAGAAAAGAAAGAAAAGTAAGTTTAAGACCAGCCTCAGAAACTTATTCTTACTGTGTCTCAAAATAAAAAAGTAAAACAGGCTGGGATGTGGCTCAGTGGTTTAAGTACCCCTAGTTTAACCCCAGTATATATTAAAAAAAAGACTAATATCATATGATTCCACTTATATGAGATATCTAGAGTAGGTATGATAATTGCCAGGGGTTGGTAGAAGTGGGAAATGGGGAGATGTTATTTAATGAATATAAACTTTCAGTTTTTCAAGATGAAAACATTCCATAGATTGGTTGCACAACAAAGTGAATATACTTAATGATAGTAAGTCATACACTTAAAAATTGGTAAGATGGTAAATTCTATGTGATATGTATTCTACCACAGTTAAAGGTAAATCATAATTTTAAAATTTTACTTCTAGCTGAGTGTAGTAACACTCGCCTATAATACCAGGTACTTGGAAGGCTGAGGCAGGAGGATCACTTCAGCCCAGGAATTTGAGGCCGTCTGGGAAATATGGTGATCCCTATCTCTAAAAACAAATATAAAATTTTACTTCTCACCAACCACATCAGATAGGAACTGTCATTATCCCTATTTTAAATCTTGGTAGCCTTTAACATAGTGAGCCCTTAATAAAAATATTTGTTGAATTAATTTATAAATTAAACCTTTTCATTCTTTCCTTTTGTGTTCCTGACCGGAATGAGAGGCTTAGTGGCAGTGAAGCCTGGGGCACTTTTGAAAGCCCCACTCTATCACTAGCTAAACCTTGGGTGCCATTGGCTTTGTTTAGCCATAACAGACTAAAGACACTCCTACTCTTGTGCTGGACAATTTACAGTGCCACAAGATAAGTCAGATAATGAATATCAAGATTTCTGCTTAACACAATCTTTGCTTCAGTTACTTTTTTTAAGTCATTTTTCCTACTAATATTAAAAACCACAGTCTATGAGGGTTTGATTTTCCCTCCTCTTTCTAGGCTTAAACAATGAAATGGTTTTTAATCACCATTCAGTCAAGGTACCTGGAAAAAAATGTTTTACTCGAACAACTTTCAACTAACTAATGAAAATATATTAATACAATATTTAAAACTAAAAAACTTCCCCTTCCCTGAAATCTCAACAATGTCAAAATGTTCTGATTCTGTAGCTCACACTGTCACACACCCCAAGGGTGTGCTGAATGAACCACACTGAAAACACTAACTCTCTGTTAACACTCTAACACTGAAAGAAATTGGTGGCTCATTCTCCGCCTGGGCCTGAGACTGAGCATTGAATGAGGTCACAGTTGTATGATGGAACAAACCCTTTATTGGATTCTTCATCTGATTGAAGTCCCAAAGTAGTTAGTAGCCCAGCTTAAAAGTAGTAGATATCAGGATTTTTATGATTCTAGGCTGAGTCCTTTTTAAAAAAAAACAACTATTATCTCTATAAGAGATTGAAGATTCTTTTTTTAAGTAATGATTATTTTGAGCCATGAGGATGATTTCACAGCACCTTTCAAGTGCCTAAATTGTTGAGCATCTCCGGCGTTCCAGCTCTGTGGTAGGTTCCTAGATTCTGAACATATGTAATTGAGTGGTGTAGAAACAACTGCTTTCCAGGTTCTGAGGTGAAGACCTGGGAAAAATCAATTCTAACCCAACATTCAGAAACCTTTTCATAGTTTAAAATTAGTATTATTGTTTGTTATTCCTAAATTAGGAACTCAGTTTACTTGTCAATGAACCACTTGATACACTCTATTGGAGCAATAAAAATAATAAAGGGAAAAGCCCTACCCCTAGCTCCTGGACCACAGGCCCTGTGTCTCAAATTATGCAGAAATGGAAAGGGAGGACTAGGGAGGCCATAGCAGTGAAGAGGCCATACAAGAGGATCTAAGGTAGCAAACAGCACTGTATTCCTTACCTGCTCCTACTTTTAAGAAAGACCAATGAGTTCAAAAGAACCGACAGGGCAGTGATATGTGTTCCAGTAAAAAACCCTGGGAAAATCTACTTACTACCAGACAGATATCTAAAAACAGAAATAAATAGGCAAATATTTTAGAAATGGTGTAAACATTTTATTCTTTGTCAATTATGCATGAAATGTTTTTGTTGCATAAATAAATTTTGTCTTTAAATAACTTCTTCCACATAGTTCTAAGATACTTTATCTGCATCAGTGTGGCCCCATTTTTATTATTTACTATGTACAACTTGATGGTTTGAGATATATATATATATATATATATATATATATATATATATATCCACATTGTGAAATAGTTCTACCATCCAGCATTAATATATCCAATGCCTTACGTTACTGTTGACAGAAGAGTAAGAACATTTAGGATGTGCTTTCTTAGCAAATTTCAAGTATACAGTATTATTACCTATAGTCACAATGTTACAGCATCAGTACTCATTTTGTGTAACTGAAATTTTGTACCTCTTGACCAATATCTCATAGCCCCTTTCTCCCAGCACTATACTCTCTGCTTTCATATAACTATATTAGATACCATATATAATTAAGAACATAACAGTATTTGTCTTTATGTAGCTGGTTTATTTCTCTTAATGTTTGTTTGTTTGGAACTGGGAATCGAACCCAGAGGGTTTTTACCACTGAAAGACATCCCCAGACCATTTTTTGTTTATTTTTTATTTTGTGACAGGTCTCACTGAGTTGCTTAGGGCCTCATTAACTTGCTGAGTTAGCCTTGAGCATGCAATCCTCCTGCCTCAGCCTCCTGAGTCAGTTGGATTACAGATGTTCACCACTGCACCTGGTAACATTTTTTAAAAAATATTTTTGGTTGTAGTGGACACAATATCTTTATTTTATTTATTTAGTTTTTTTTTTTTTATGTGGTGCCGAAAGTCGAACCCAGTGCCTCAAACATGCTAGGCAAGCACTCTACCACTAAGCCACAACCCCAGCCCAGCATTTATTTTTACACAGCATCGGAATGATAGTATTTGAAAGGGGAAGCAATGGCAAGAAGTTTTGCTTAGAAATCTAGTGACATCAAAGAGACCCTTCCACATCCCTCCAACTTTGCACATAACTCTAGTACCATTCCTTAAAGCTCTAGATTTTTCAAATGCCAGGCCTTGAGCTAGGAAAGTTGCAATAGAATATATATAATATGTGAGTTGATTCCTAATTATATTTTCTGAATTCCAGACGGAGTCACTGGCCAAATGGCAGTTTCAGAAGTTAATCCAAAACTTAAGCTGAATCCTTTAAAAGTACCTGGGTTCCACAGCAAGAGGTAGGTAATTAAAGTATTAATATGCAATAAATTATTAAGTGATGACTATATTAAATACCCATAGAGGCTATGACTAGACAAGTTAGAATGCTCTTCAAGTATCTGTTCTGTGGCAAATTTAGGTATAAAGCAAAATTTCTGAATTAAAGACAGAGATTATTTTGTTCTCTTTTTGAGATATTGGGGATTGAATGTTAAGCAAGCATTCTACCACTGAGCTACATCCTCAACCCCTTAAATCTCATTAAGTTACCCAGGTAGTCTCAAACTTATGATCCTATTCTATTAGCCTCCTGAGAAATTAGGATTACAGGTATGCATCACTGTGCCTGACAACCAAAAGATTATGTGTGTGTATGTATATGTGGAGGGAGTGTGAGATGGGGTGTTACTGGGGAGTGAACCCAGGGGTACTTTACCACTGAGATATATCTCCAGTCCTTTTTTTTTTCTGAATAGTGAAATAGGGCTTCATGAAGTTGCCAAGGCTGGCCTTGAACTTGAACTTGAACTTGTGATCTTTCTGCCTCAGACCCTCCCAGTTGCTAGGATTACCATGCTTGATTGAGAAAGATTTTTTTTATGAGAAGAAAAAGACAATTTTGGGGGGTGGGGGAGGTTCAGGGGATTTAACTCAGGGACACTTAACCACTGAGCCACATCCCCAGCCCTTTTTTGTATTTTATTTAGAGACAGGGTCTCATTGAGTTGCTTAGGGCCTTGCTAAATTGCTAAAGCTGGCTTTGAACTTGCTGTCTTCCTGGGTCAGCCTTTTGAGCCACTGGGATTATAGGTATATGCCACTGTACTGGGCCAAATATTCTTTTAGACTGGAGAAACAGTTATCCTTCCTACTTTTCTAGATGAAAATCTATTTTCTGTTAGGACATAGAATGTCATAGAGGGATCGAGGAGTTATAAGTTATTCATTAAGGTATTTTGAGTGCCAATTTAAAGAATAAGTGTAAAACATCATGCCTGGCATGATGGCGCAGCCTGTAATCCCAGTGGCTTGGAAGGCTGAGACAGGGGGATCATGAGTTCAAAGCCAGCCTCAGCAACTTGGTGAGGCCCTGTTTCTAAATAAAAAATATTTAAAAAGGGCATCAGGATGTGGCTCAGTGGTTAAGCACCCCTGGGTTCAAACCCTGGTACCAAAAATAAATAAATAAAAAGATCATAAAGAAGAATTAACTCCTAAGCAAGTCAAAATATAGAGAAAAGAGTTCACATTACAAATATAACCAGTAAAATGAGATCTGATAAAATAGGTTTTTCTGAGTCAGCTATTAACAAATTTCAATAAACATCCACCAATGACTAAAAATAAGAGAAGCAAAAATTTGTAATCCCAGTAGCTCAAGAAGCTGAGATAGGAGGATCATAAGTTCAAAATTTAGCAAGGCCCCAATCAACTTACAAAGACCCTGTCCCAAAATAAAATAAAAAATAAAAATAAAAGGTTTGGTTAAGTGACCCCCTGAGTTCAATACCAGTACAAAAAAAAAAATTATACTGCCTGGCATTCCACTTTCCTCTGGATTCTTAAGAATATTATACTCTGCGTCTGCTGCATCTTTTTACATCATCTGACAGAAATATGTTTATATTTAGGGATTGGGGTTGTAGTTCAGCTGTAGAGCACTTACCTTGTACTTGTGAGGCACTGTTTGATCCTCAGCACCACAAAAAAATAAATAAATAAAATAAAGCTATTGTGACCATCTACAACTAAAAAAATAATAAAAAAGAATAGTTTATAAAATAATCTAAGAGTCTTTAGAAGTTCAAGTAGATGATACAAAGAAAACATCAGAAGAAGTCAATATTGCCAGGTGTGGCAGTGTACACCTAAAATCCCACCTACTTAGGAGGCTGAGGCTGGAGGATCACAAGTTTGAGACCAGCCTGAACACCCTAATGAGACCCTGTCTCAAAATTTAAAAAGGGCTAGGGATATTGCTCAGTGGTACAGTTTTAACTACCAGGACTGCCAAAAAACAAAAACAAAACAAAACAACCTTATCACAGCCAGGATGGGTGTAGTTCCGTGGGAGAGCCCTTACCTAGCAGAGGCCCTAGACTTGATCTCCAGCGATGCAAATAAATAAATTAATTAATTAAAGCTGGTCACTTTCTTTTCTCCCAGGTCCCTCTTTGAAATGAGTTGAATCTGATAAATACTCTACAGGACACTAAATAATAATTTTATTTTTTTTATTATTTTTTTTCTCATTTCAATATTTTTTCTTTCCCAGCAGAAATAGTTTTATTTGGACCCAGAGCTGGAGAATGAGACTAGGACCTGAGATAATATATTGAGCTAAGGAGTAGATATTAGCTTACAAAAGGGCAGTCAGAGCTCATCAGCCAAATGGACTCTACTTCCCAGCAGCCTTGCTGTTAGTGCAATCAATAAAAGGACTGCGGGAAAATATATATGCCACTAAATCACCCCAGTGATTTTTCATCATAGAAAAATTTCCATAAACCCTCCAAACTACACATATTACAAAAGGAAATTTTAAAATATCACATTTTACAGAATTTAAACTTTTCTTCAGCATCTAGCTCAGAGGTCTCACCAACTTCAAAATACAGCTTTCCACTGAACTCTTCAACCATATAAATAAGATCTATCAAGCAATGAGAAGGCTATCTTTGCTAGCCAATGGAAATTCTCTTCCCAATTCAGCTTCCCTGAGCTAAGGCTCAGGTGGGGCAGGCTAGGAAGCACATTGGTTAATAAAACATAGCAGCTGAAACTTGATGGGACAGCAGAACTGGTGAGACTTGAGAAGGAGGGTCCAGGTTCTGTATTCAGTCAGAGTCACTGCTGGAAGAGGAGGGATGCTTGCCATGCTTGTGGTGTTTGTGCACCTTTTCTTCCACATCTTCTTGTCCATAATCATTCCTGGGCCTACCATGCCAGGAGCCATGTGGTTCACAGGAGGCATAACAGGAACCGATGGTGGGTGTGAAGGAGAGTAGGGACCTGAGGGTTGGTGTCCTGGCAGAGAATAAGGGGACCCATGTGGAGGAAAACTTGGCATTTCCTGGGGAGCTTCTAGGGGAGTAGGACAGAGACCAGGAGGAAAGGCCAGATTGTCAGGTGGTGGATGTGGTGGATGGATGCCCAAGATTGGAACCTCTAGGGTTACCTGACATTGGAGGATATGGATTTGGCCCTGAGTGCCCAGCACTGGGATTCTCCATATTCAGGTATTTCCCCCAGCCAGGTCACCTCCCCGCAGCTGCCAGGGCTTAATCTGTCCTCCTCTGGTCTCTCATTTCCCTTTTTTAACTTATTTTTATAAAACTACCAAAACCAAGTGATTCCATAGTTTTTAAACTTTCGGTTCTCAGTATTAAATAAAATAAATTTATAAAATTATAGTTTTATTTTATTATTAATTTACATTTAATTAATTGTTTAATTTGCCATATTTACAAGTCCAGATTTACACAATAATTTCTATATTCCTAAATAAATTACTGCAGATCTATGCAAACTGTTCCCAAAATATTAACATTCTCTCTCCTTTTCCATATTTTATTTTCCCAAGGAAATGAAAGGTCAAAACAGAGTCCCAAACTTTCCAAAAGGTTTTATAACTCTATATCTTTTTCTGTATATTTCTGACATGTGGTAAAAAATACAATCTGGCCGGGTTGTAGAGCACGTAGCAGTAGAGTGCGCTCGCCTCGCACATGCAAGATCCTGGGTTCAATCCTCAGCACCATATAAAAAAATAAACAAGTGAAATAAAATGTTGTGTCCAACTACAACTAAAAAAATAAATATTAAAAAAAATACAATCTGGCAATAATGGATGCAAGGTTTTCTCTATACAGATACTCATCACAACATTACTTATACTAGTTACAAAATTAAAAAAACTTTTATTTATAACAACATGAATAGTTAAAGGTTTATAATCTTGAGCTTTTGAATCATACAAACTTAAATCTCAGGTCTGTCCCACCTCTGTGTGACTTTGGATAAGTTATTTAATTCCTTTGAGCCTCAGTTTCCTGTTCTAGAAATGGATGAAATCAGATTTTTTTTCCTATGAGCCAAGCACTCATCAAAAATAATTTGTTGAATTAACATCAGATTATTTATTTTTCTTACACAAAATAAGGACAAGGGAACTTCACTATTTCACCAGTTGAGAATGGCTGTTCTCCCTCCAACCCAGATTTCTCTTAGAGGACCAGATGTGTCAGCTTGGTTTGATAAACTCCATGTTGTTGTTCCCCCCCACCCGGAATATTGTCTCTGTTGAAAAACTGGCTTCACAAAGAAGGTGACAGCAGGAAAATTTCAGAATCCAAAGCTTAAAATAAGTCTTGGGCAGTGTGGGGTTATTTTCTGTCTCTGGGGGTGATCATCCGGTGTCCAAGGCCTGGGGACAGAGGCAAAGTCCCCAGCTGCCCATCTAGGAGATGTCACTCTCAGTAGCGTCTGGTGTCCTGACCTGTGCTCGCCCAGGATGATGGTGGGTAAGGAGCAGCAGGTCACAGGGGCCTCCTGACCCTCTGGGAGACAGAGCTCTCCCTGGGCAGACCCCGGGACTGAGGGTTAGCAGCCAGGGGAGAATCAACGACTATCCCCGCCTGTGATCCTTGAGGTCCTGGTGCAGGGATGTAGGAGGCAGCTAGTGTCACAAGACATCCCTGTCCCCAGCCAGGCCGGGCGCCTGGCTAAGCAAGGAGAAAAACGGTGTCCCTCCTCAGGGCCTGGTCCCTGCACCTGGTCTCACTTCCTCCCGGCACCTCCTGGAAGGGGAGGAAAGTAACACCCAGGGGAAGGATGGGTATTGAGGCCACCATCACATTCAAGTTCAGGGTGCGACAGCTCAGTCTGCCCCCCAACAGGCCCCATACTCCGCTCCTCTTCATGGACCACGTCCCTTCTGAGAGTCACACCCTGCCCTTTATAGGCATAAGGACCCAGAAGTTCCAGAGACATATCCATGTTTAGGCCCTCGGATCTGGAAGTGTCTCAAGTGTCCATGTTTAGGCCCTCGGATCCGGAAGTTCCAAAGGTGCACATCCACCCGGATCCAGAAATTCCTCGGGCACACATCCATGTTTAGGCCGTAGCATCTGGAAGTGCCTCAGGTGCACATCCATGTTTAGGCTCTAGGACTGGAAGTTCCTCAGGTGTTCATGTTTAGGCCCCCAGATCCGGAAGTTCCTCAGGCATCCATATTTAGGCCCACGGATCCAGAGGTTCCTCAGGTGCACGTCCATATTTAGGCCCCTGGATCTGGAAGTTCCTTGGTGCACGTCCATGTTTAAGCCCCCGGATCCAGAAGTTCCTCAGGCATCCATGTTTAGGTTCTGGGATCCAGAAGTTCCTCAGGCATCCATGTTTAGGTTCTGGGATCCAGAAGTTCCTCAGGCATCCATGTTTAGGTTCTGGGATCCAGAAGTTCCTCAGGCACACATCCATCTTTGGGCTCTCAGATCCGGAAGTTTCTCAGTCCTCCATGTTTAGGCCGTAGCATCCAGAAGTTCCTCAATGTCCAAGTTTCAGGCCCCACCCCCCCACCCCATTACCCCGTCTGGAAGTGCCTCAGGCATCCATGTTTAGGCTCTAGGATCCAGAAGTGCCTCAGGCATCCATGTTTAGGCCCCAGGATCCAGAAGTTCCTCAGGCACATGTTCATGTTTAAGCCCCCGGATCTGGAAGTTTCTCAGTCCTCCATGTTTAGGCCGTAGCATCCGGAAGTTCCTCAGGCACACGTACATGTTTAGGATCCAAAAGTTCCTTTGGTGCATGTCCATGTTGAGACTCTAGGATCTGGAAGTTCCTCAGGTGTCCATGTTTAGGCCCCAGGGGTCCGGAAGTTCCTCAGGTGAGTGTCCATGTTTAGGCTCTAGGACCCGGAAGTTCCTCAGTCTTCCATGTTTAGGCTGTAGCATCCGGAAGTTCCTCAGGTATACACCCATGTTTAAGTGAAATCAGATTTTTTTAAAGAAGGTGAGGATGATTTGCAAGTATAGGACCGAGGTGCATATTTCAGTGGCCAACATTTACTTACTGTCCATACCGCAACTGTTAGCAAGTGACAGTAACTGGTCCCTTTAGGTACTGTGATTCTGGATAAATTGTGATACTTTCAGTCATTCCATTCAGCAAAAAAAAGTCAAAGAAGATTGACTTTTGCTGGTTTCATATATGTATTAAGTCTTAATCTTTTTATGTATCTTTTCAGGGATAATAATTTACCAGAACATCTTCAACACAAAGAAAAGTTGAGCCCTTCACAAATAGAAGGTAATGAGAATCATCCTAGAAATTAAAGGATAAACAACAGCCTCTTAATATATCTGATCCTTTCTTCTTTAATAGAGATATGAGATTTGAAGGGCTGTCTACACTACCCCATCACTAAGACAGAAAAAATTAAATTAAAAAACTTTTTGTAGGGGATGGGAATATAGCTCAATTGTAGAGTACTTGCCTAGCTTTTTGTGGGATTGGAGAGGAACTGCTTTCAAATTGGCATCTCTGTAGAATTTTAAAATTCCTGACCAAATATTTTTATTCAAAGGAGAACTTGTGGGGAGTGGAAAAGAACAAATTCAAGCTCAAATGTAAATCAAGCTATGGGAAAAATATAAGCACAGCTGAAGTTCCAAGGATTTCTCAGAGAAGAATTATAATAATAAAATGAGCTACAGTGTCTATAATTCATTCATCCAAACAACAAATACCTATTTTAAACCAACAATGTCCAGGCATGAGAAACACAATAAAATAAGTTAGACATGGTCCCTGCCTTAATAGAAAGTTTAACAGGGAATACCAATGGTTAAACCATGAATTTGTTGAATGAATCATTTAAAGTGCAATATGTTGTGATATGGAAGTATACAGTCTTATAGAAGCATAAAAGGAAGTGTCCTGACTTGGTCTCATGAAGGGAAGGGGAGTCCCAGAGAAAGCTGAATGGAAAGTAGGGGTAAATTGGGCAAAGAACAGAGAGAGGAGCATTTCAGGTAGAAAGAACAGATCTATAAATGCCCAGAGAAAAGGGAGAGCATTTTACAGTAGAAAAGCTAGAAGAATCTCAGCTATTTGGGAGGCTTGGGCAGGAAGATTGTAATATCAAGGCCAGTCTTAGCAACTTAGTGATACCCTGTCTCAAAAAATTTTTTAAAAGTTGGGGTTGTAGATCAATGGTAGAGTGTCACTGTGTTCAATCCCCAGTACCACAAAAGATAAAATAACAACTAAAAGTCAAGCATGGCTGACTTTGGGTTTGGGGAAAGATAATGCTTCACCCCTCTATATTTGGAAACAATTGAAAAATTGACCCAGGAGTCAGAAGCAATCAAAAAATCACCTCTAGCTGGGCGTGGTGTCACATGCCTATAATCCCAGCAATTTGGGAGGCTGAAGTAGGAGTATTGCTAGTTCAAAGCCAGCCTCAGCAATTTAGCGAGTCCCTGAACAATTTAGCAAGACCCTGTTTCTAAATAAAATACAAAAAGGGGCTGGGGATGTGGCTCAGTGGTTAAGCACCCCTGAGTACCAAAAAAATCACCTCTAACTGGGTGTGGTGGTGCATGCCTGTAATCCCAGCGACTTGGGAGGCTGAGGCAGGAAGATTGCAAGTTCAAAAACAGTCTCAGCTAAAGTTCTTTAATATTGATTAAAAAAAAACAGTCTCAGCAATTTAATGAGGTCCTGAGCAACTCCGTAAGACCCTCTCTCTAAATAAAATATAAAAACAGGCTGGGGATGTAGCTCAGTGGTTAAGAAAGCATCCTTGGGTTCTGTCTCTAGTACCAAAAAAAAATTTTTTTAAATCACCTTTATTGCTGAGAAAGCTGGTTTGGAAAATGAAGGACTGTCAATATCAGATTTGCATTTCTGCATGTTAATTGTAATACTAATAAGCTTATGATTATTGTAGTGTTAATCCTCATAGCTTTTCTGAGAAGTAGATTTATTCATTCTACATGCATTTATTGAATACCTCAAAGTCTCCAAAATCTCCCATCCTTGCTCTCAAATGATATCCTTACTTCCTACCTCTCTGCAGAAAACTGAAGCAATCAGAAAAAAATTTTCACTCTCACCTTCATTTCTACTTCCCTACCAGCATCTGTACCCACATACTCTACTTTCCAAAACAACTGGAGCAACATAACTAAACAATGTAGAATTAGATTATAACTCAAAGAATAAAATAAACATCCATGAGTCCATAATGACAAAAATAAATGATTGAGGAGCTGAGGCTGTGGCTCAGAGCAAGAGCGCTCACCTAGCACACATGGGGCACTGGGTTCAATCCTCAGCACCACATAAAAATAAAATAAAGGTATTGTGTCCATCTATAACTAAAAAAATACATATTTAAAATAAATAAATAAATAAATGATTGGATTTTTAATACAAAGACGACACAAATGGCCAAGTCAGTTGTACTAAAGGGAGAAATGAGGTCACTATGTATTTTTAATACATTTTTAAGTTGTTGATAGCCATTTATTTATTTATTTATATGCAGTGCTGAGGATAAAACCCAGTGCCTTACACATGCCAGGCAAACACTCTACCATTGAGCCACAACCCTAGCCCCCACAATGTATTTTTAAGGAGAAGTAACAGTGTATTTGTATGGTAATAGGAATATCTACTATAATAGTGAAAATTTGGTGTTGGAGACAGGGACCTTTTAGAGGGTGATATCTGTGAATATGAGAGAGGGGATAAATTATAATCTACAATAGAGGTAACTGGATCTAGATAAAAGTATAAATTTCAGGTCCAGGGATGTAGCTCAGTGATAGATCACTTTCCTACTATGTGTGAGGTCCTGAGTTTAATTCCCAGTTACAAAAAAAGAAAAGTATAAAGTTCATTTGTGGAATAGGGAAGAAATCAGAGTATTATTGCTTATAAAGGTAGACAGGTAGAAAAGAAGGTAGGAAGGCCAGGCACAGTGGTGCACTCCTATCATCCCAGCAGCTCAGGAGGCTGAGGCAGGAGGATCGCAAGTTCAAAGCCAGCCTCAAAACTTAGTGAGACACTAAGCAACTCAGTAAGACCCTGTCTCTAAATAAAATACAAAAAAGGGATGGGGATATAACTCAGTGGTAAAGTGCTCCTGGTTCAATTCCCATTACCTAAAAGAAAGGAAAGGAAGGGAGAGAGAAAGGAAGGAAAAGAAGGTGGGAGTCTTGTCAAAATTCTATTTGTCTCTTTTTCTCAATCTCCAATCCAGCATTATTTTTTCTTTTTTTCATGGTATAGACCACCTTCTAAAATAGTATCTAATTTACCTACTTATTTTATTTATATGAGGACAAAAACGTTTGTGTATTTCATGCTGGAGTGTGTCCTAAGCACTTAGAGCACAGTACCTGGCACAGAGAAAACATGCAATAAATATTTGCTAAATTGCGTGAATGCCTACAACATGATAAAGAGGCTGTGAGAAGATAGAGATGAGTCAGAAATGGTTTGATTCCAGCTCTAGAAAAGCTTAGCTTTTGTCAAGGGAGATAGGTGTTATCTTTTCATACAGTTACAAGGTAAGTATCATTATCTTATAGGATTAATCACTTCTTGTACATAGAGATGCTGAGACATGAATGTATATGAAATGCATTCTATTCTGGTGCCATTTGGAATATACTTTGATCTGGATTTATTTCTTCATTCACTAATTTTAGAAAACACATACCTAATTTGGCTTCAATTGGTGCTTTGAGTATTTCTTTGAAAAACACTTTAGATATGTATAACACATACATATACATATTCAATTTGGGTCCAACTTCGTGTATTAGTTTTCTACTGCTACCATAACAAGTTATCACAAATTTCACAGCATAAAACAGCAGGTTGTACAGGTCAGAAGTCCAGATAGGCTTGACTGACTTCTCTCCTGCAGGTCTTAGAGGTTCCAAATTCAGGGGTGGAGACAGGCATGTTAGTACACACCTGTCATCACAGAGACTCCAGAGATTGAGTCAGAAACATGGAAAGTTTGAGGCTAGCCTGGGCAATTTAGTAAGACCTGTCTCAAAATAAAAAATAATAAGCAGCACCGTGGTAGAGCACCCCTGGGTTCAATTGCCAGTAATGGAAGGAAGAAAGGAAGGAAAGCAGGGGAAGGAACAAGAAGGAAATAAACAAACTTAGGTGTTATCCAGCCTGGGCTCTTATTTGGGAGAATATCTTTTTTTTTCTTTTACATTACTGGGGATCAAACCCAGGATCTCTGGCAGCTAGGCAAGCTCTCTACCACTGAGTTGCCTCCCCAGCCTTTACGTGGGGATTCTTATTTGGAAAGTCCAGAGAATCTGCTTCCAATCTCATTCAGGTTTGTGGCATAACTGAGTTCTTTGCAGTTGCATAGCTGAGGTCCCAGTTTTCTTGCTGCCAGTCAACCAGGAGACTCAGCCCTTAAGGCTACCTATGTTGTATACCATGTTGCTCCCCATAACCTATCTTCAAACAAGCAATGGTGGGGGAAATCTTCTCATGCCCTGAATTTCTTTTTCTGCCACATCTGTCTTGCTTCTAGCTCTATGATGAGTTTATATAATTAGATTGGGCCCAATATCTTTACTGAAAGGAAGGAAGGGAGGGAGGGAGGGAGGGAGGAAAGAAGGAAGGAAAAGAGTATATTCAATATATTTTTGGATTATCTCAGATAATCCTAAATAACCTATCTCAATTATATCTGCAAAGTCCCTTTTACCATATAAAGTAATTTATTCATAGGTTCCAGAGATTCGGGCATGGACTTCTTTGGAAGGCTATCTCACATACCAATTAGCTTGTTCTACTTCAAATCCCTAGGAAGGGCAGTATCAGGTATCAGAAATGTCTATTAAAAGCCAGGTGTGGTAGTATAGGACTATAATCCCAGTGACTTGGGGGGCTGAGGCAGGATGATCACACATGTAAGGCCAGCCTGGGCAACTCAGTGGGGCTCTAAACTACTTAGCAAGGTCTCAAAATAAAGAGGGCTGGGGAGGCAGTGGTGCATGCCTGTAATCCCAACAGCTTGGAAGGTTGAGGCAGGAGGATTACAAGTTCAAAACAGCCTCAGCAAAAGCAAGGCGCTAAGCAACTCAGTGAGACCCTGTCTCTAACTAAAATACAAAATAGGACTGCGGATGTGGCTCAGTGGTCAAGTGCCCTTGAGTGCAATTCCCAGTACCCCTCAAAAAGTGGGGTGGGGCTGGGGATGTAATTTAGAAGTAAATCTCTCCTCAGTATCCCTCCCTCCAAAAGTATTAAATGCCTATTTTTCTCAGTACTTCTCTAGAACACAATCTCCAGCTGTATTATCTGTTCTAGTTTTATTAGCATAGGTATTTCTTCATAAATAACTGCCATAACTTAATTCCATTCTCCAGCCTTCCATCATGCCTACGACTTCTTCAGCAAGGATAAAACTGGCTGTATTGATTTACATGGAATGATGTGCACTTTAGCTAAATTGGGAATGAATGTAACCAAGCATGATATCTATAATGAATTAAAATGTGCTGATATTGATCGTGAGTATTTTAATTCCTCATTACCTTCTCATAAAAGACTTCTAAAACACTTTTACAAATACATATTTTTGCTGGGCACAGTGGCATATACCTGTAAATCCAAGCAACTCAGGAGACTGAGGCAGGAGGATCATGAGTTCAAAGCCAGCCTCAGCAACTTAGTGAGGCCCTAAGCAACTCAGCAAGACCCTGTCTCTAAATAAAATACAAAAAGGGCTGGGGATGGGGGGCAGGGGGTGCCTGGGGTTGTGGCTTGGCGGTAGTGCACTTGCCTAGCATGTGAGAGGCACTGAGTTTGATCCTCAGCACCACATAGAAATAAATAAATAAAGATATTGTGCCCAACTATAACTAAAAATATATTTTTTTAAAAAAAAAGGGCTGGGGATATGGCTAAGTGGTTAAGCACCCCGGGGTTCAATCCCTGGTACCAAAAATAAACTATTTGAGGTGTTTGGCATTCACTGGAGGTCTTGGAATATGTCCTCTGCAGATAAAGGGGACTACTGTATATGAGTTTATTTCCCTGTAAAGATATCATTGAGGTATATGTGTGTGTGTATGTATGTGTGTGTGTATATATATATATATATATATATATATATATATTATGAAATCAAATTAATCCTCAGAACTATTCTTTGAAAAATCCTGTGTGGAAACTGAGTGACTATCTCAATATCAAATTCAGGTTATCTTTCATGATGTTCATTTTGGAAGATACCTTGAAATCACAAATACAAAAACATAAACAATTTAAAAACTGACATGATGCCCAGAAAATCCAAGCCCTTTGTTTCCATTTAAGTTATAAAGTATGAATCCTCTTTGCATCATTAGGGTCTACCTACACTGAGTTTTAAATGACAGAGATTTTTTTTATATTTTTAAAGCATCAAGATCATGTTTTTAATAGCAAGGATATTGGAATGATGTGCATTTTAGCTAAATTGGGAATGAATAGTGGAAGGAGACAGTCATCATTATACAAAATTCATATATGAAGATGTGAATTTCGTGTCAACATACCTTATATACAAACAAAGATTTGAGAAATTGTGGTATAATGGTGTATTAAGAATTGCAATGCAAAAAAATTATGAATGTAATGCACTCCTCTATTGTGATGTAAGAAATAATAATAAAAAAGATTTTATTAAAAATCCTGACCTAGTGATTAGTAGTTCAAGCTGATACATTGTGTGAAAAATATATTCAGCACATTATCTCCTCTCACCTCACTGAGCTCACCCACTTTCAGTGCCCACTCAGTCAGCATTAGTTCCACATGTGATTCAATGTCACCAGTTAAGGTATCACTTGTTTCCACTAACTGTGCAGAATTTTTCTATTCTTCCTAGGAAGCATACACACATCCACTTTAATAGCACTATCTTTAATTTTAGAAGAAATGGGCTAAAGCTTGGCTATTATATAGTAGAATAGGGCTGGATATGGAGTGGGATATTGGGTAGATTCCTTGTAAAAATGGCAAAACTCTGGACGAGGAGTGAATGGACAGGCCCATGGACAGGCCCGCAGCGGTTGGGAGCCCTGGCTGAGTGTTTATAGCATCTCTCCAGCCCTAAAATGCTCTGTGGTTTTGTTTATTTTATTTTAACTTTTGTGGTGCTGGGGATTGAACCTGGGGCCTTGTGCATGTGAGGCAAGCACTCTATCAACTGAGCTATATCCCCAGTTCAAAATGCTCTGATTTTAAGTATTAAGTGGTCCAGAGTGCTTTAACTTTTACACTCAATATGTACTCTAATAATTTCAATACATCTTATTCTTGTTCTGAGCTTATATTTCTGTTGCAGGAGACGGGAAGGTGAACTTCTCTGACTTCATAAAGGTGCTAACAGATAAGAACCGCTTCCTCAAAGCTGTAGGTGAGCAGAGGTGTTCCTGACAGGTATTACTGAATAGATGGCAGTTGGGTAGCTACAGCCCACTACATGTAAACATTATTCACTTAGGCCTCCAATGTGGAGACAAACAGAAAGCTGTACTTTGAGGATATGATTTATTTTTGTACTGCTTCTCCAAAACAATATTTGCTAAACAAATTGATACTTTAAGGTTTGTTGTTTTTTTTTTTTTTTTTTTTTTT